CCTTGTGCTATGAATACTTCCACCACCTAAAAGGCCTTCTCCCCATGTCCAAGACCCTAGCCAGTCATTTGAACATGTGTCTAAGACCTCCTGATTAGTTAGTGATGACAACCATTTATGTGAACTCTAACCTTAGAGGGTGCCGTCATGGTGAAGAGATGTTAGGAATTGAGAGAATAAGTTTGCGCATCTTTCGCATCAAATTGTCCTAACCCCACTGGTCAAGAGTGAGCGATTCATTTCCTTGTTCTTTACACTCTTTACCCGGTGAGGACCTAGATGGCTCGGTCTTGATTCTGATGTCTTGAGTTTTGTGCATGAGTTGACTGTCTTGAGTAAGTGGTTGAGTCAAGTCTAGGTTGGTTGATGAACAGAAGGGAGACTCCTCCTTTACTCGAGTTTGCTGCACTCGAATGTCTTCTGTGGTGGTTGTCCAGGTTGCTATTAAGGTTGTTCATGTGCTGATGTTTGAGAACCAGTATGATTCACGTGTTCTGTGCCTATATGACTTGTCCCCAATGTTCGTATGATTGAAATATGTGAGCTGACCTTGTGTCTGACTTCGTTTGCTTGGGGACAAGCAAACGGTTAAGTGTGGGAGAGTTTGATAAGCCGTTAATTGCACATGTTTTTACCCCTATTCTAGAGCCGTTTGAGATGGTAATTCTCGTGTTTTAGGCTGATTTCACGCTAGGTTGTGTTTGTTTATGATATTTTAGGTCCTAGCAAGTGAATGAAGGTTTAGGAGCGAGTTCGGGGTCGATTGGACGAAGATCGGGCGTGAGGCAAGTCAAAAAGGAAGCCACACGGGCACAACCAGAAGCCACACGGCCGTGCAAGTGACCAGTTTGGCCGTGTGGGATTGTGCGAGTCTTCACACGGCTTGCCCTGAAATCCACACGGCCGTGTAAAGGAGTGGTTTGGCCGTGTTGAATTGTGCGAGACTTCACACGTCCAGGCAGGGTGAGTTACACGGCCGTGTGACCCTGGCCGTGTAGGTTGACTGAAGTCCAATTAATCGATACGCGGCGTTTTGAAGTCACACGGGCAACTGGGTATGCCACACGGTCGTGTGGCCCTGCCCGTGTGAGTCGGGAATTCCTGGTTTTAACCCAATTTCGGGCTGAAAGTGAGAGGATCGAGTTTTGGAGCAAAAATAGAGCCCTAGAGAGAGAAAGTACGAAGAACACATCCTAGAAGCTATCTTGGAGCTGGGTTTCATCAAATCAAGCTTGGAGATCATCATAGGAGTGGAAATCATCATCCCAGAGCAGATTTTCCTCATCTTTATGAGTATGACTACTCTGTATTCTGTTTTCCTCTCTCTTTCTCTCTCTCTCTCTCTCTCTCTCTCTATGGAGTAGAACCCTTCTCTCACTTGGGTATTAAGAACCCTAGTCCTATGTGTTAGGGATTTGATTGTAATGACTTGGGATGATATTACTGCTTGGTTTTAATTGAAAGATGCATGTTTATTGAGTCAATTGAAGTCTGATCAGCTTTTCTTGATTTCTGCTGCAACCTGAGATAGATAGAATCTGATTAGGTTGTTAGAGCCTCATCATTCGGTAGTAGGAGATTGGCTATACGAGAGTTAGCCAGTTTACTGCTTTGTACTGGAATTCAATTCCAGTAGTGGAGTTCTGTTCTTACTGCTTCAGCTTTCCATCCCTGTGAAGACTAGTCGTCTGCCGGGTAGTTAGTCTGAGAGGGCTTGGTCAGCTTAAGAGATTCCAAGCTACTGTCGGATCTTACGCAGTCTAATCAACAGTAAATCAACCCAGGGAAATTACATTTGAAACCTAACTAAGGAGCTAGGGGGACTCATTCCCGAGTGACTCTTCTTTGCTTGAGAAAACCGTACCAATTCCTGCTTTCTTTCTGCTTTTGCTTTAAACAAAAAACACTTAACTTATTTGGCTAGATAATAGATAATCACTGAGTAAGCAGTAGATCTAGACCCCGGGTTGATAATATAACTTGCCACTTTACTGCATTCCCGGTCTGCGATTACACTTGGTCGCAGATTGGTGTTGTGTTTTGGAGTGTCAATAAACTAATTTTAGTGGCAACTGTGAAACTTCTTAGTAATTCAAGTGACCAAACTTGCAATTTACCCAATATTATGTGAATGGTTGATGAGGAGATTCAATCCTACAACTCAAAATTTTGGGGTACGTCAACGGGTCGAATATCAAAATTTACCCAATATCAGTCGGATGGATTATGGTATTCAAAAGGTGACCTTGAAGTGCCTTTGAAGGATAGAAAGTTAGAGTTGGTGAATGAATTTGATAATAAGGAGCCGAAGTTTGTAACTTTGATAGAGAAAGTGAAAGGTGTGGTCGTGTGGTAACAGAATTAGGATTTTTGAAGTACTTTTTGTTCTATATTCTAGGTGTATTTTGTACCCTAATCAATGAAATAGCATTAGTTCTTCTTTATTGCATGTTGTTGGTTCTAGTGATAAGAAGGCACAAGAGTACAACTGGTGTGCGCTATTACTTAGTTGGTTGTGTAAGTGTGCGAAAAAAGTGGATAAAACATTGAGTGGTTCGGGGATGTTGGCGGTTATGGTTGTTGCATTGTGCTGCTGCATGTTAGTACTTTAGTAAAGTGCATCATTAATTATATTATCATGAAGTATAGGATGATATTAATATTAGCACTTTACTTGTGCAAATATTCTATTTTGATAGAATTGATATAGGGAGAGCCATTGAATGGAATAAAAGCCTTAGAATAACAGTTTGGGGAATGGAGAGAAGAATTTAGTGATACAGATTAATCGTGGGAAGTATAGGTGTCAAAACATAGCCCGACCCGATTAACCCGCTCGATCAACCCGACCCGCAACCCGAATTGAATAAAAGTCAAAAACCCGTAACCCGCCCGACCCGCAACCCGATTGACCCGCAATCCAACTAACCCGCAACCCGACTGACCCGCAACCCGATTAACCTGAACCCGATTGACCCGCAACCCGACTGACCCGCAAACCGATTAACCCGAACCCGATTGACCCAAACCCGATTAACCCGTAACCCGACCGACTCAACCCGAATTTCATCTAATCCAATTAAATAATTATAAAAATAAACAATACATAGTTTTTCAAAATAAAGTTTTTCATTCTAAACTTAAGTAAAATTATTTTTTCATTTCGTATAAGAAATTTATAAAATATGAAACTCACTTGATATTACGTATTTTAAGAAAATTACAAAAATTGGAACATGAAGGTCACTTGAGATCATGACAATATTAATATAATATATAAATTAAAATTTTGGTTAATTTAACTATTCAATAAAATTATCAATTAAATATAAATAAAGTAAAGTAATGTATTTGGTAATTTGATGTTTTTAAAAGAAGAGGGAAATTTTGGTGTATTCAAGTTTTTGGGAAGAGAAAGAAGAGGGAAATTTGGTTCTCTGAATTTTTTAGAAAAGAAACAAGTGAGAATTTTGGTGGTTTTGATACGTGGGAAGAGAAAGAAGTGAGAAAATTTGATTCTTTTGATTATGAAAGAGAAATAAGAAGGGAAACTTTTGACTTTTCAACTTTTTGTTGAAGGAAAGAAGAGGGTAATTTGGTTCTTTCAATTTTATGGGAGAGAAAGAGGAGGGAAAATTGAGTTTTTCTAATGTATGGAAGGAGAAAGGGAGAAAGAAGGAGGGAAATTTTAGTATTTTTGTGAAAAAAAGGAAAAAAATTTGGTGTTTTCAATTTTTTGGTTTTTTATAATTTTAGCTTTTGAAATATGAATCTTTAACTTTTATATGGAGGGCATGACTAGTTAAAATTATTCTTATATGCTTTGAAGGCTAATATGTATATATATATATATATATATATATATATATATATGTGTGTGTGTAATTGTTTATGGGCTAATAAATAAATTAACCATTAGTTACAACAATTTATACTAAACTTGATAAGTAATCTTTGACGGTATATATATATATATATGTGTGTGTGTAATTGTTTATGGGCTAATAAATAAATTAACCATTAGTTACAACAATTTATACTAAACTTGATAAGTAATCTTTGACGGTTCGTTGTTTAAGATATAAACTATATGGTTAGGGTAATTGGTATAAGGTACATATGGTTTAGGGTGTATATGGTTAGGGTATAAGATATTGATGGTTTTGATGGTTCTAAGTTTTTTATTACCATGTGTTCACTTGAAGTCATTTGAAGTCTTTAACGGCAGGAGATCCCTTTTTAATTTATGTTTATGGTACGTGGTTAGGGTACAAGGTATGTGGTGTAAAGTATAGGATATATGGTTAGGGTATAACAATTAGCAAATATCACTTTTTATCTATGTTTTGAAAATCAAAGTATGAATTTCACTTTTAAATTAACTATACTAGCAAAATCACAACTCAAGGACATATGGTTAGGGTATAGGTTATGTGGTTAGTGTATAATGTATTAATGGTTTAGGGTATACAATCAACAACATGTACTAACCTTATATTGTTGATTGAGGGTAAGGCTAAGTGTATAGGATATATGCTATTGAGTAAGTTATGATTGAAGTCGCAATAATTTTACTAAATTTGATAGGTTATCTTTAATGGTTCAATTTTTAGGATAATTCGAACAATTTTACAAATAACTCGTTTGGCAACAGTTTACTGAAGTATTTGGGCAATGAGTTATTTTGAAATAACTCCTTTTATCACTATGCTTTTGCCAAATACCACACGCCAAATACCAGATTTGCATGGTTATACAAAACGAGATACTTTAATCCAATTACTACTGAATTAATACTAAAATATCAAATAAACAATTAACGGTGTCTTTTGGTTGCAAATATTGATATCACCAGTACTATTAGCTATAATAATTTACCAATTATGATTAATTACATAACAAGTTTGCAAGTCATACAAATTGATTTAACATTTTGACTAGTTTTTTTCAAAAAGATAAAGTATATATATACGAGGTAGAAATAAATTGGTTAAAAAGTTGAGAAAATATTTTAAATTAGTGTAATAAAATGTGTAAGTTGGTAATGAGTAATGAGTTAAGTTACTTGATGCGTTGGCCCGAACAACCCGAAACCCGACCCGCCCGCAACCCGCCCGACCCAAAACCCGATGAACCCGCAACCCGATTTGCCCACAACCTGATTGAACTCGAACTTGATGAACCCACAACCCGACTAATCCGCAACCCGTTTGAACCCGAACCCGACTAACCCGAACCCGATGAACCCGCAACCCGACTAACCCGCAACCCGTTTGAACCCAAACTCGATTGAACCCAGCCCGAACCCGCCCGAACCCGCCCGATTGACACCTATAGTGGGAAAAGTAAGGACTTCGGAAATGGTCAGGTAAATTATGAGATACAAGTGATGGAGTTAAAAATTGCACTTGATTAAGTTTTTACTACATAGTGTAAATGCTAATTATTAATCTGTTATTTGAGATTTAGATATGGCATGTTGTGTATGGAAAAAACATACGTCACTGACCAGTATAGGAAATTGAGAGAGGATTCGAAGGAATCGTCAGAGAACAATTATAGAGCGTGAGGTATGTCATGTTTTAGTTAAGTTTTTTAAATTCATACATGTTGTGTTTTTGTTTATATACAATTTCTTTAATGTTAAAGGGACACAATGGGAAGGAAGGTGGTAAAGTTGATGAACATATATTTGATGATCGAGACCAACCAATAAGTGAGAAGGAAGCTGTCAAAGTTGATGATCAAGATAACCAAGCAAGTGAGAAGGAAGATATAGAGGTTGAGAATATAGTTGATGATCAAGAGCGGCAAGCAAGTGATATAGAGAAGAATGACATTATCTCGATAGTGGTGGTGGATGTGGAACAAGTATTCCAAGGGAAGTCCCAAAGAGAAATGTGAGGTTAGTATTGAAGATGAGGTTGAAAGTGGTTCCAAGGTGGTACTAGTGAAGTTAGTGATATAAAACACAACAAACCTCGTAGAATGACTGAAAATTCCGTTGTCAGGTATCACCTCTCATTTCAAAGCCAACTATGGTGAGGAATCAACATACAACAACTGAAAAAAAGGATATTATAATACTTACAAAGTAAACCAAAGGAGTAAGTAATTGTGAATTTGTTTTTGCATTCTACAATGGTTGATCTATTTATTAATAGGGCTAATACCACTGGGAAATCCGAATTATCAAGAAAGTGTCACTTGTGTTCAGAACTATTCAATATGACACTATGTCCTGAACTATTTTTCCGTTAGTGTTGATCAAGTTTGACCGTCAATATTTAATAGAAAATTCAGTCAGTGTCGACGTGACATCTAATACGAAATTTTAAATATTGATTTTTATTTATATTTTAATCTTATATTATTAAAATTATTAACATAAAAAATAAAAAGTTAAAAAATCCCTAAATCATCTTAATCGCTTCGTTGATTCTTCTCCTAAGTCAACATCAAGTTTACCACTGTCTGGTCAACCCTTATCTATAACGGAAACAAAATCGTCAAGACATAAATGACACACAACTATTATACATTGGGACATAAAAGGAATATTGAATAGTTTGGGATACAAATGACACTTTCTTGATAGTTTGGGTTTTCCAGTGGTATTAGCCCTTATTAATATTTGAGATATTTTACTAAATGTTACTTTTTCGTTTGTTTTTTAGGATGTAATCGGAGTTAATCATCAAAACTCATGAAATTAACAACTTGGATGTACTCAATTTCAAATCATGGGTTAAACCTCGTAGTTGGGCATCTAACAGAGTGAGTTACATCATTCTTGATATCTCACGGTGATAATAAGAGTTGTAGGTTTAGAGTAAATATACTTGTTAACGAATGTATAAATGTGATTGTTGTAGATAATTCATGTCGTTGGTTGGCTTATAGTCCATGATTGGAATGGGACAAATCTTGCTCCACGACACATGATAGATCCAGATTTTGGAGTAAGTCATCTACTTCAACTTTTACATTATTTGCTATTTGGGATGATGAGTTTGTTCATTGTCCTTTTACATATGTGTGGTGTTTTAGTGCTTGATGTTGAAATATAATTATGAGGATGATTTTGATGGAGCTACATGGGTACATGAACACACCATTGATAAGATGTGAAATGATTGACATTTGTGATGATGAGTTTGTTCATTGTCCTTTTACGTATGTGTGGTGTTTTCGTGCTTGATGTTGAAATATAATTATGAGGATGATTTTGATGGAGCTACATGGGTACATGAACAACACCATTGATAAGATGTGAAATGATTGACACTATGGATATAAGTTGTAGTCATGTAAGTAGTAGTGTGGCAATTAGATTGTCAATTTTATATGACCAATGGTTTGTGATTGTTATTGATATAAGTTGTTGGAATGTTGTTTTCGCTCCCTTACTCTTTTTCTTACTTCTCATGAGCTGGGAATTATCCTACTCTGTGGTTGTCCTCGTGTTTGCGCAATAACTGGTTCTTGCAAAACTACAAGAGCTCCTGAGTTGTCCAAACATTGATCATCACTAAAACAAATTGGCTTCTGTTGATGATAGTTCATCATCCTCCCACTCGGCAAAAAACTTATCAGTTTCATGTATCAAATTGACAAGATTCTGGAATTCTCCATCATGCTCGGAAGCACTTTTTGCCAATCTCTTCAATCTTTTATACAAGTATGCAAGTCTATCCATCTCACCACTAGAAACATCTCCTACATAACCAACCTTAATCTTAGAATGTATCCTACATATGTCCTTCCTCCATCTTTGAGTTATATACTTTGCATCAATGACTTCATCTTCGTTTCTCATCAAAACACAAAAAATATGATGACAAAGAATTTGAACTCAAACATTAGACAATTGCATGAAACATATCCACTTGTCTGATCATATAACACCTTGAACCCCTTTTTCTTCACCCTATCATAAAGAACACGAACTCTATCTTGAACAAGGTAGGTAATTCTCTCCCCATCAATATCTTCAACTTTTTCAAAACAATGTACTGTAGATGCCAATTTTCTTGCACGGCTTCAAGTTGTTCCTCAAACTCCATTGACAATGCACATTGAATTGGTGCTACATAACTACGACAATCAGCCCGCGTCTCCTTCTCAATTTATCCTTCAAGCCGACTAGATATTGTTCCAAGAATTGCTTCAATGATGATGTTGAACCTAAATGCCCATCAAAGTATGCACTCATGCTCTCACTTCTTTGAGTAGACATCATTCCAGCCCAAAAAGTATCATTCACAAACATTGGAATCCATTTTGGAGCGAATTGAATAGTGCTTCCAACCATTCATTGTTCTTCAATGTGTTGGATAATTCATCAAACATATCATGACTCCCCAACTTTTGTGGCACCTTTTTCAGAATATGCCAAAAACACCAACGATCCTAGCATCAGGAAAAAATTTCAATTGCTTTTCTCATGACATTGATCTGTTATCACCACAACCATAGCTAACTTCATGCATTCTAACCATCTAATAAAGATCCACACAAAAGTTTATGTATCCTCCTTTCTCATAAGAGCACAACCAAACAATATTGATTAACCATTGATGATTTATACCAACAAAGGGAGCTACTGTCATGTTATACTTGTTCAACAAATATGTTATGGCAAATGTAATTACATCGCCGAATTCCTTGTATGCTACTTTTCTTCTAGCATCAAGCCGTAACTTTTTTTTTATGAAGAAGTCTTCACTTTCCCATAACACATAACAAATTCTAGCATCAACCCATAACACATTTGTTAGCCTTCCATCATCATCAAATCATAAGCATAAAAGAAGTCATCACTTTCCTTTTTCGTATTCTCAAATAACTTCAGCATCACACTAGCATCCCCCTCACCTCACCTCAAATTTATTCCATTTTGCACATGTTTCCTACAATAATTTGCCAAACAACCCATACTCTCGTATCCACCCTCTTCTATAGCAATAGTTTGTACACTCTTTGTTAATCGAATGCCTGCAGAATCATTAAGCTTAAGACACCTCTGGACTGCAACACTTACGCTTCTATGTAGCCAAAAAAAATTGAGACTTTGAAGGTGTCATGGTTATGTTGTTCAACAAACTTGATTATCTTCCACCCACCATCTTGCATATTCGCACAACAAACTCGAGCTCCACGTTCAATTCGATGGTTGGGTTTTGATTTGAGAGGATTCTTTGCCTTATTAGATGGCTTCCTAGCCCTATGACAACAAAATCTACAATTTGCAGTCTCTCCCGTTTTTTTTTAGGTTGTTGCCTTTCCTGCTGCAAATCCTTTTGCTTTGGCATAACCTTGACATAACTCAAAGATATCATCAAATTAAGAATAAGACACACCCACCACTGGTACCCACTTTCATTCACTTCTATTACAACCATTCAGCTCGGGTGATTGAATAGTATTACCCCGATCATTGATTTCATCATCTTCAATCATGATTGTATCTTGTTCCATAACTCTAGCTTCTTTCACTTCAATTGACATTTTAGCTTTTTGGGTTTCAAAACAAGCAACTAGTTATATTTTAGGGTTCCGTCAATAGTGTGAAAAAATACAACAAGAAGAAGAAAAAAACTTGCATATTAGAGAGGTGGTGTGAATGAAGGTATATCTTCACCATCGATGGTGGAATCCGATCGCAGCCGATGGAGCCCGACCGTCTATGTGAAGGGGGCAACTTTCTTCTTTCAAGGAAAAAAGAGACAAAAAGATTACAATGAGAAGGGGCTGAGATTAAGGCTTACTGGAATGCATTCGGGTGGAGAAACATAGGGTTATGATGAGAAGCATAGCTCTGTAAAAAAAAAAAAAGACGAAGTATGGTGGGTGCCTTCGTGGGGAAGAAGGGGAAAGGAAACGTTAGAAGAAACAAGGGAAGGCTTTTGCGGTTGCTTTATCAATTGTAAAACGAAGTTACTTTTGTCTTCTCTTTTTTTTTTTAAATATGTTGTATCCTGATCTCCCATTAGATATTGGATTCCACTAAAAGAGTTTCAATTTTATAATATTAAATCATTAGGTGTTGGTGGCACGTTAGGTGCTAAAAGACATCTCTCATTAGATAAATCATGGGTCCGGATAATAACAGGATTCATTAAGGGTATAAAGGTAAATTACTGAAAAAACTAACAAACTAAAAATTAAATCAAATAGCTATCTTGGGTCACACGATGTATCCCTCCCCAAGAACAGTGGCTACTAGATCTGTATTCCATCCTCTCCGACAACCGTTTCTTTCTCTCTAGCGACAAAATCTCTCCATCTTTTCTCTTTCACCAAAGTGTTGGCAGACTGATTCCACCTCGATTGCTTTGATTCTTCCATCATCATTATTCCTCGACACAAGAGACGACGGCGGCGGACTCTAGAGGAAATCGGCTCCATCATTGAGAAAATAAGACTGGAGGGACGGGGAGAAATCGGACTCCCAAATTTCGACGCTCCTACTCTCCAGATCAATGGTTTTCGCTGCCCTGCTGCTCTGTCAAGACTCACGACTCGTTTCTCTCATGCTCTCATTTTCATGCAGGTCTGTCGCTCTTTCTCCCTCCTAGAGCTCCGCAACCATGGCGGCATCGGCTTGACTTCATTTGAGGCTCCCAAGCTGCCCCGCTGCGACTCATATCTCTCTAGTTGTCCCTGTACTGCAACTTCGCTGCCCTCCCCTCCTAGTGATTTGCTACCATGGCGGCACCGACTGTGGACGAGTTCGTCAAAGGGAAATTCATTTCAAAGGCTTTCCATGAAGTACTTCTCCCTGTTCAATTTATTGTTTCTAATTACGAATTGAGTGGCCTATAGATAGATTAACTAATCCAGTATGATTTCAAAAGCTTTCTTAGGTCGAGTTGTAATTGTACAGCTCCTGCGAAGAGCTATTTGTCAAGTTTGTTCCAATTTGTTGTTTTTCATTACGAATTGAGTGGCACTAGTTTTTTGTGATTTTTTGACAAGTTTGAAGATGCGATCTTAATTTGTGGGACATTGGCACATTGCATTCAAATCTCTTTCTAATCTCAAAAGTTTCTTAATCCATATCACATATTTCTTCAATTAGACCTGAAACTCCACAAAACATACTATAAACCCCATAATGCACATCACAAACACGATAAATCAAACCACAAAAAACATACTGGAAACCTTGCAATGCATACCACAAATAGCCTAAAACGGACCGGAAAATCCACAAAGCAAACCACAATAATTTCATTAGGACATCAGAAACATCCTAATGCAGATCACAAACGTGATAAAACAAACCACAAAATGCCTACCAGAAAACTCCTAATGCAAACCATAAATCCCCTAAAGCATACCAAAAACCCCACAAAACAAGCCACATAATTTTCAAAAGCACCCAGAAACCTCATAATGCGAACCACAAACACGGTAAAGCAGACCACAAACGTCCTAATGTAAACCACAAATATATCAAAACAAACCAGAAACTACGCAAAGCAAACCACAAAATTTTTGAAAGCATACCAGATACTTCTTAATGCAAACCAGAAACACAATAAAGCAAACCACCAAGGCATAACAAAAACGTGAGAAACCAAACCATAATTCTCACAATGCACACCATAACATCCGTGATCGTCGACCGTTGAACAAACTCAAATGACCGTCGGTAACTGGATTCCGGCACCGATAAACATATTCTGGCCCCGATGACTGGATTCCGACGCCGATAATCATATTCCGACCATAGTGACCATATTCCGGCGATGTTGGGCATGTTCCGACCATGGTGGGAGGATTCTGGCGACAAAAAGTATATTTCGGAGACCAGCGACCGCATTCCAACGACCAGTGTCCGGATTTCGGGGACCAAAATTTAGGGCAGAAAATAAAAAATATTTTATAATTATTAATCATTAATTATTATTTAAACATAAATTTCATAATGACAATTATGCCCTTTCTTTCATTTTACACTGGGTCAATCTCTTTCAGTTTACACTAGGTCAATCTAACTAATAAAAAGTCATTACAACCCTAGTTTCCTATTTCTTGGACACTAGTGTTGTCACAATAACAACACAAGGGGTGTTGTCACTTGTCACCCTATCTAGACCCATAAATCGTGGGAAAGTGAAATACAGGGGGCTGGTTTTCCAATTTACATATATGTGAGAATGTGATCAAATTCCTTAAGTCCAGTTTCCACATACTTTTAGGCCATCCAAACATGAAATTTTAGGATTAATACTACATTATGTGGTAAGTTGGTCTATTTCCCACACACGATTACCACATCCAGACGACATATATACATACAAAAGATTTAAACAACTTAAAATATTTAGGTATCAAAATGTAATACACAGAATTTTTAAGTACCCAAATGTAATTTTCCATTGATAATTTGAGAAATTAAAAAATAAAATTTAATTACTGAATATAAAAGTATATTAAATGTAGATACCTGTAATTTTCATATGGATATTAATGCAAACATAAATCATTACGACCCAAGTAAATGCTCATCATACTCTACCCGTTTTTTTATCTATTACGTCAATCTAATGGAATTAGATAGTAAAATATCTATATCATCCAAAACTCCTCTGGAGAAAATTACCATCTGTTGCAGCACAGTACCATCAATAATTGAGGAACAGGTTTACCAGAGCTCGTATTGGGATTTCGATCCGTCTGCTTCAATGAATTTTTAGGGTTTATCAAATTAAACAAATTCCCCTAGGATCGCCTACCCAAAGTAATATTGGTAGCTGATGGAAACATTTAGGATTTTGCTACGGTGACATACATGTCACCGTGACATGGACTTTTCGGTCGACCTATTGCTGAAGGCGGTCGACCGAATCGACTAATTCATGTTTGTGGGATTCCAAGACGCGGTCGACCTCTTACATAATACGGTTGACCGCTTTGGTGGTCTAACAGAATGAAAGGTCGACCCAAATATCTCATAGGCCGACCCTTGTGCACCTAACAGGTCGACCGCATTAGGAAGAGGTCGACCGCCTTCACACCGTATCCGTATTGGATATGGATTCCAACACCATAAAGGTTCCACAATTGGACAAGGAAACGAATTGGGTCGACCCATTGACGTCCCAAATCTCTATAAATACGAATATTAGTCCCCTTCAACGCCTCCAAGTCTGAATTAGGTTTTTTTCCGATTAAGAGCCTTTGTGAAGAAGATCGTTCGCGGTTGCTGTTGTACGCGTTGGAAGTGGTCGACCAGGTCTAAGGTGAGGTTGACCTAATGTACCATTCGCCGTCTTCTTTTCTAATGCGTGATTTCTACCGGCTAATTTGATGTATTGTTGGGTGCAGAATTCCATTCGGCCGACCGTGACGTCAATCAGGTCGACCTGACGAGACAATTCTGCGTATTTGAATTTAGGCCACAACACTTGGATTTCTGTACTTGCGAGGTAACCCAATTGGTCGACCTAATGGGTTTCAAGGTCGACCATTCCTGTTTTTTTGGTTATTCAACCTGAATGTCGACTTTGGCTTTGATTGTATGACTATGTTGTGCTTGAAAAGGTCGACCGCGCCAAATATCTGGTCGACCTATCCTTTTTTCGGTTTAATTTAGAACTTACTTTTTGTTGTTAATTGTTATTTTCCTGCTGGATAGGTCGACCTAGGAATAACAGAGGTCGACCTTAATGGTTGTGGTAGTCACTATTTGTCTTCCAGGTCGACCTAATACTATGTCAGGTCGACCACGTATTTGTTTTTTGGTCAATTGTAGAAATTTGAAGTTGAATTTTGATTTAAATTTTTCTTGAAATTGTTTAGACAATGACGCATGATGAGAAACTGCATCAAGATTTGGGTGAAATCATGAAATTGTTGAAAGCCACACAAGAGAAGCTGGTGGTGTGTCAAACACAAGTCAATGACTTTCAGAAGTCCATGTGTGATAGAGTGGAGCAATTGTCAGTTCGACTGACAGATATGACTGGGATGATGCATGACGGGTTTGAGAGGCTAGAAGGTGCTATCAAAGATATAAGTGCAGAACGAATGGAGAATGGCGCAAGAAATGGTAAAGGACCTAATTTTGACTTTGGTAAAGAGGAAGAATACCATGATGACTCTGAAAATTGCTACCAGAGCATAGACGATTTATTGAAAGAGCACATTTTAAAGGTATCCAAGTATATTCATAGGTGATTGAAGATATTAGTATTACTATCATTAGTGCTAATTTGTTTTGTTATATGTTTGACAGAGTGAAACAACGAATGGCAGCAAGGGTTCCTCTCCTAAGTACAAGAGACCTCGATATGAAAGTGACTCCTACACCACTCCACAGAAGGATCAATTTGTAAGAAAAGGATTATTTAGTGATGATAGCGATGAAGAAGAATCTAAGAGTCCTTTCGAAAAGCATGGGGTAAGTTTACGTTACATATTCATCTATAATGTGTGTTTGTGTTCATATGTTACTTTAATTTTAACTATGATTTGTAGGTCATGAAAGTGGAGGGTCTAGAAGGATTCACCAAAAATCTTCAAAATCCAGTTGAAGACTTGTATTATGTTGTTACTAAAGAGAAGGCTGGGGACAAGAATTGGGACAAGTAAGACATTTTTTAGTACGTGTGGTCGACCGGATCGGTTATGAGGTCGACCTCTTTTCCAATAAGGTCGATCGTGACTGTGAACAGGTCGACCTGTACGTTGCAAATCACAATTGACATTTTTGTTATTTTGATTTTTGCAGTTTGACCGTTGTGGACTTTTTTTCTGAAAACGTGCAACGACATTATTTGAGTTCGGTCATTAGCGAGAATAGCTGGGTTTGCTCATCAGTAAGTACTATACTACTACGACTTTCGTATGAATTGTGCACTATTTATGTTACGATTTACGATGATTTTGTGTTTGATTGTTGGATGGTAGGTAGTGGATTTGTGTGCAAGGGCACTAACAATGTCTGAAAAACATGATGTGAAAGAGCCAAATGTGTGGTATTTGCCAAATATGTTTTCGGTAAGAGCCGTAATGTCAAATTATTTGTCATAACCTAGTTATTTATATTGTACCATGTCAATTCATCTCAACTAAAACATGCTGCAGAAAATGGTACGCGCTAACATGAAGACCAGACAAATTCGTAACAAGTTGATGAATGATGGCGTGGTCTTTATGCCGAATGTCGGTGCATGCCAGAAGGTTAGTCTAGTCAATGTCATTATATCATTAAATTTCGAAAGTGCATTTGTTTGTATTCGCTGTTTATAACATATAGTGAGTGTTTCGTTGCTAGATATTTATGCCAGTTCTTGACGATGAAGCACGTCATTGGTTTCTGTATCTCGTCAATGTCCAGCAAAAAACTGCATTTTTGCTTGACAGTCTACCTTCAACTAGTGAGGCGAATCGTAGGCGTAAATCAGCACTATGCAAGAAATTGGTAAGTGTTTTCTATAATTTTCTGACTGTTAAGCGTCACGTATGATGCTAGAAACTTAAAATATTCATTATTTGTGTGTAGTTGTCCAATTTGGATGATATTTTCAAACCGGAGCGCATGAGCAATGTAGGAGTACCAAATTTTGGAGATTTCAATTTTGATGAGTAACGAGTTCAACGGCAAAGGAATAGTACTGAGTGTGGTGTGCACGTCATGCAGTGGATGCGCTATGGATCCAAGGATCTTGATAGAGTGGTGAGTATATCGTCAAACAAATAACTTGTTTAATTTACACTTTTTTTAGTTGTAACTAAATCTTACATGGCATAATGCAGATAGGAGAAGAACACAAATTACCGGCGCGAAAGGAGATTCTATGGTATCTGGCTACACATTTTGAAACCTTGCACGAGAAAATCTTTTCAAGCATGTAGTAGATGAATGCATGGAACGAGGCAAAGAGAGACAGAGTTCAAACAAAAAAGCAAAGAAATGAAGTCGTTAAGTTACAATGTTGCATTATTTGGACCATACATTGAATTTGTATTTGCGAGATCGTTTCATTTTGGATTTTGAATGTTTATAGTTTATTAGATTTGTTATACAATTATGGATGTGACTGAATTTACGATTTCAATCGTCTAGAACAAGTGGTCGACCACATACTCAAAGCGGGCATACCTAAAGGCAGAGCACAGGTCGACCTCGTGACGCAAAAGGTCGACCTATGATACCGTAGCAAAGTCAAAAACCATGTAGAACATGGATGGAATCTCGTCAGTTTGGCCTTAATAAAATACGGTCGACCATTCTTGTTAAGAGGTCGACCTGTTTCACATTTATAAACAATGGTCGACCATTTCAGTAAAGAGGTCGACTTGTTTCACATTTATAAACAATGGTCGACCATTTCAGTAAAGAGGTCGACCTGTTTCACATTTACCCAAAACAGTAGACCATTTGTGCAAAGAGGTCGGCCTTAATGAATCATGTCCTTGTACAATTAGGATTTTGTGTACTTGTCCTTGTCGAATTATGATTTTATATATCTTTCACCAATTGGATAAGGAATTCGTCTACATTATCTATAAATAGATGGGAGTCTGAAGACTTTAATCGTACTTCGATTTATGCAATTTGTTGGAGTGAAGTTGTAATATCATCGCTCTTATTGTGATCGGGTGTTGGTGGCGGTTTATTTTTATTCCGGTAGACCGTAACAATAAGTGGTCGACCTCTTTGCTAAGGTATGTCTCGTATGTGCTTGTTAATGCTTGTATGTGGTTAAATTTTTCCTACCATCCGGTCGACCACCCTCACCATCCGGTCGACCGCGCTTTTGTAATTATATGATTAGGTCGACCCTTCAGTAAATTCTGGTCGACCGCATGTTTGTTATTTAGTAATAAGGTCGACCGTACAGTTTATTCAGGTCGACCTGACGAGCGCTAATTGAGTATGTTTTTGACATTAAGTTCGTATTCTGATCGTTTCAGAATGGATAACAGAGATGATACAGATGATAGAGATGATGATGAGGTTAACTTCGATGAGGAACCTAAGGATGCTCAAGAAGGAGCTATGGATAATTCAGATGATACAGATAATACAGATGATGAAGTGGTTGGGGATGATAATGAAACCGAGGGTGCTGAAGAAGAATTTATGGATGATGAAGAAGCTACTGAATATGAACAACAAATTCCTTCCATGGAGTTCCAAACGTTAGAAGATGCAGAGAAATTTTACGATTCCTATGCTAAAGCGAAAGGATTTAGCGTTCGACGTAGAGATCTTCGGAGGAATCGTCATGGAGTAGCAATTGGGAGGACAATGGTATGTTCGAGAGAGGGGACTAGAGATAAGGTGCATATAGATAAAGAAGGTCGGACTCGACAACATCGTAAGATGACAAGACATTATTGCAAGGCATCGTATACTGTACGCTTTGATCGGAATAAGAAAATGTGGGTTGTTTCTAAGTTTGAGAGGAAGCACTCACATCGTTGCTGCAATGAAGAAGAAAGTCAATTCCTTCGGTCTCATCGAAATGTGAGTGAAGGAGACAAGGCTCTGGCGATAGGGATGCGACAGTCAGGAATAAAACAACGCAACATTGTTCAGTTCATGAAGAATAAAGTTGGAGGATATGAGAATCTGGGGTACACTCCAAAGGATTTGGACAATGTTGTTCAGCAATTCCGAACAGTTGACGACGATCTAATAGGAGATGTTAACCGAACATTGGGTTACTTGCAAAGTAAACATACCTCTGATGCAGGCAGCTTCTTCAAGTACACAACCAACGATGAAGGTGAATTAGGCAATCTCTTCTGGTCGGACTCCACATCTAGAGCAGATTACCATTTTTTTGGGGATGTCTTGGCGTTCGATGCATGCTACAAGCGCAACAGGTACAATCGACCATTTGTTATGATGGTTGGTGTAAATCACCACCACCGTAACATCATATATGGTTTTGCCCAGTTGGATAACGAGACAATCCCCAACTATGTTTGGTTGTTGAATACTTTTCTGGAGTGTATGAACTCTAAGATGCCCACTTCAGTGATCACAGACGGAGACAAGTCTATGCGTGGTGCCATTGCTACTGTTCTGGTTGGAGTGCCTCACCGTCTTTGTATTTGGCATATTGAGACAAATGCGACAACGGCTGTTCATAATAAGGAGTTTGTTAGCGCATTCACTTACTTGGCGAAAGCACGAATATCGATTGAGGAGTTTGAGAGGCGTTGGGAGCATTTGATTAGTCAGCATGGTTTGTCTGCAAATAAGTGGTTGCAGGATTTGTACGCTGACAAATTACTGTGGGCAGAGGCATACTTGAAGGATATGTATTTCGGTGGACTCCAATCAACCTCGCGATGTGAGTCATGTAACCATTGGATAAATGGGTATGTGGGAACTCAATACAGCTTGCAACGTTTTGTTCAGGGCATTGATGAAGCACTGGAGGGGATGCGTTTCACGGAGGTGCAGGATGATTATACTTCTAGGCACACGAGGTTGGTCTGCAAGCATGCCCTTCGCACTTGGGAAATGCAAGCTGAAAGTATCTACACTCATCGTACATTTGCTATCTTCAAGTCTGAACTAGAGAATGAGGCTTCTTATGTATTAGCGGAGAGAAGAACTGAATCAGATGGGACAGAGACATTCATACTGAAGAACTACATGAACCCAGATCGGATAAGGCGGTTAACATTTACTACGTCCAATCAAGATCTAAAATGCGAGTGTGCATTATTTGAATCTAAGGGGTTTCCATGCAGACACATGCTTACAGTAATAAAAAATATGGGGTACACCGCACTACCCTCGTCGTGGTTCAAGCTACGATGGACCCAAAATGCGAAGACACTAAATCGTCATCCTGGAGTTGGAGGTGATGTGGGAGAGAAAGTTGGTCGACTGATAAGACATGGAGGATTGGCTCTAAAGTGTAAACGTTTATGTGACATCGCGTGTGGTAGTGAATCTGCTTTTAATCATGTCTCTAAGACGTTGGACGACCTTACTCAATGGGCAATTGAGTTCGCGAGGGAGAGAACGGACAACACCACACCGGCAAACCCTCCAGCACCCCTTCGAAGTGTGAAAGATCCAAAAATTGGGAAGACCAAGGGGACATTCAAGTCAGCACGAACTGCATCGGGTAAAAGTTTAAGAAAGTGTTCGAAATGTGGGAAATATGGTCATTTTCGCCCTAAGTGCCCGAAACAAAGTCCCAAAAAAGGATCTTAAATTTCTTCTATTGTTGTTTAGGAGTTTATTTATATTTTAATAACTGTGATTGCATTGTAATTTCTTCGAATTATCTTAATAATTTATGAGTTAATTGATTTTTGGTTGATTGGACGAAGATCGGGCGCGAGGCAAGTCAAAAAGAAAGCCACACGGGCACACACACAACCCACACGGCCGTGTGATGTTGCAATTTGGCCGTGTGGAATTATGCGAGGCCTCACACGGCCAGGCTGGGTGAGCTACACGGCCAGGCTGGCGGCAAATAGCAATAAAACGGCCGACCTCATACAAATAACGGTCGACCTGAACATACACGGTCGACCGAACATGTTAGTGAGGTCGACCGCGTATTTAATTCGGCCGACCAAACCGGTTTGTTTGCAACATCCACCCAAACCTCCCCCAATCCTCTATTTAAGAAACCCTCCCCCACTCATTCTACACCACAATCAGAACCCTATCCCACCACATCCACTCATTCTTCCTCTCCTTTCCCTTCTTCATCTTCTTCTCCATTTTCCAAAAACTCCATTTTCCAAAAACTCAAAGAAAGCTTCATCCTCTTCACTTAGAAGAAGAACAAGGTATAGCTTTCACTCCTCTCTTTCATTTGAGTCGATTCTTGTCTTCTTCTTTCTGTTTTCAAAAAATCTAAAGATGTAAAAGAGGGATTTTTCCTTCTGTTCGTCAGAAGCGGTCGACCTGTTCATCATCGTGGTCGACCGCGTCTGGCCTTAAATCGATTTTTATTTCTGTTTTATGGACTGAGGTCGACCTATGATGATATTGAGGTCGACCTGTGAAGTTCGAGTTGAGATTTCTGGCCTTATTATTTAGATCTGTAGCTTGAAAATATGGACTTTGTCCTTCTGTTCGCCAGATGCGGTCGACCTTTTCATAATCATGGTCAACCGCATCTGGCCTTAAATCGATTTTTATTTCTGTTTTATGGACTGAGGTCGACCTATGATGATATTGAGGTCGACCTGTGAAGTTCGAGTTGAGATTTCTGCACTTATTATTCAAGCGATCTTATTTCTGTTTTTTTTGTGCGAAACTAACACAGGTCGACCGCTTCTATTTATGCGGTCGACCGAATCTGTTTTGCACTCAATTGATACGAGCATTTGGGCCATTTCTTTTCATTTTAATTTAACCGAGGTCGACCTGTGATGCTTCTGAGGTCGACCTATGAAGGCAAAAGTTCAAGTTGTGCCTTTGTCTTTGATTTATTTGTGCAAAACTAACACTGGTCGACCTCTTCTATTTATGAGGTCGACCGAATTTGTTTTGCACTCAATTGATACGAGCATTTGGGCCATTTCTTTTCGTTTTAATTTAGCCGAGGTCGACCTGTGATGATTCTGAGGTCGACCTATGAAGGCAAAAGTTCGAGTTGTGCCTTTGTTTTTGAATTATTTGTGCAAAACTAACACTGGTCGACCTCTTCTATTTATGAGGTCGACCGAATTTGTTTTGCACTCAATTGATACGAGCATTTGGGCCATTTCTTTTCGTTTTAATTTAGCCGAGGTCGACCTGTGATGCTTCTGAGGTCGACCTATGAAGGCAAAAGTTCGATTTATTTGTGCTAAACTTATTGAGGTCGACCTGTGATGATATTGAGGTCGACCTCGGGCCATTTAAATCGATTGAAAGGCAATTGTGACTTTCAGAAGCCGCGCAGTGCAGGAGATTAGGCCATCTTACAATGCACTCGAAGACATAAACGATTGTGTCTTCGAGTGCATTACAAGGTGGTCTAATGTCCTGAACTGCACGGCTTTTGAAAGCACAATTGGCTTTCAATCGATTTAAATTTTCCGAGGTCGATTTATGTTTTTTCTGAGGTCGACCGGATCTGTTTTGCACTCAATTGGTACGAGGATTTGGCCCATTTTAGACTCGTTTCAATTTAGCCGAGGTCGACCTATGATGCTTCTGAGGTCGACCTATGAAGGCAAAAGTTGGAGTTGTGCAATTCTTTGAATTATTTGTGCGAAACTAACACTGGTCGACCTCTTCTAATTATGAGGTCGATCGGATCTGTTTTGCACTCAGTTGGTACGAGGATTTGGCCCATTTTAGACTCGTTTCAATTTAGCCGAGGTCGACCTATGATGCTTCTGAGGTCGACCGATGAAGGCAAAAGTTTGAGTTGTGCAATTGTCTTTGAATTAATTGTGTGAAACTAACACTGGTCGACCTCTTCTAATTATGAGGTCGACCGGATCTGTTTTGCACTCAATTGGTACGAGGATTTGGGCCATTTTAGACTCGTTTCAATTAAGCCGAGGTCGACCTATGATGCTTCTGAGGTCGACCGATGAAGGCAAAAATTCGTGTATGTCGACCCATTCCCGTTTTAAATTAACTGAGGTCGACCTATGATTTTTCTGAGGTCGACCCATTCTCGTTTTAAACTAACTGAGGTCGACCGCTTTATGGAGTGGTCGACCGCGTATTGTTCATTTCGAAAATGTGACTAACGTGTATTCTTGCTTGTTTGATCGCAGGATGTTTGGCGGCAAAAAGAAAAGAAAGGCACAAAAAGCTGCTGCCTCAAGTTCGGAATAGGAAGAGTTCAATCCCAATCTGTTCCAGACCAAGGAGCAAAGTGAGAACTATGAAGAGAAGAGAATGCACAACCGCAGGGTGGCTCCGGGAAGGCCATTGACGACGGATGCGTATTCTCATTTCGAGAATTACGGGTTTCTGGGACCCTTCATCGAGCAAGAGTGGCTGAAGGTGATATCTCTCAATGTACCATACTACCCAAAACTGGTACAGTACTTCTACAACAACATCGTCTACGAGCGCAATGCAAATGGATCCATTCACGCATTCAAATCCTATGTGAATGGGGTGGCGATGCGCATCAGCAAGAATGTGTTGGCGCAAGTACTTCAGGCTCCAAACAAGGGGAAGAGAATCAATTCTTACGGTGCTTGGAATGAAACGCATTTCACAAGAGCCAAGCAAATCCAGACGGTATGTGGTCTTGATGAAGAGGAAGATGCTCAGGGGCGCAATAGGCCATCGAGTAACCACCTGACAGTTCAAGCCAGAGTTCTTCGCCACATGCTTTCCTACAACATTCTGCCAAAGGGTGGACATCGGGAGACAGTCACCTACTTCGACATGGAGCTCCTCACCAACCTACTGTTAAGCGAGAAGGTGAACTTGCCATACTTAATCTTTAACCACATGCTTACTGCTGCAGAGAGTTCAAACAGGAATCTTCCCTATGGGATGATCCTCACTGTGCTATTTGAGCATTTTAATGTGAATTTAAGTGAAGAGGTGGGGTTAAGAATCTCAAGGCAGGAGTTCTATACTGTTTCATCTCTGAAAAAGATGGGCTTTGAGCTGCGTAATGGTGAGTATGTCAGAGTAAACAATGCTCATGGTGGTGGTGGTGATGATGATGATGATGATGATGATGATGAGGGTGATGAAGGAGCTCGAGACGAGCCAATGGGGGAGGCACAGAGTTCAACTCCACCGATCACCTTACAGCGTGTGTGGGAGCGCATGGATGGCATGTACGAGTACATGGGCCAGATGTCCACCCAGATGACTGGCATGCACGACTACATGGGGCAAATGACCGCCCAGATGAGCACAATGCAGGTGACCGTGAATGAGATGCGAGATGAGTGGCGATCTTTCAGCGGAAGATACATGCATCCCACCACATCCCACCACCATCATGCTAGCACCACCAATGAAGAAAATGTGGATGAGAGAGAGGGGGGAGATGAGTAGGAGAAATGAGTTTTTATATTTTGTGTTTTAGTGGTCAAAACGATTGTTGAGTGTTATTCTGTTGTTTTTTTAGTTTTATTTTTATGTGTGAACAATTATGATTTCTGTTTTATTTTTAGTTGTTATGCTATGAATTGATGAGTCCTTGTTATAATTATGACTAATTATGATGGTTTGAAACATAATTTATACGATTAAAAGAACCACACAAATCGACATACATAAGCAAAAAAGACACGGGGCATAGGGTGACTTTCTTGTCTTCGGTTGACCTCGTAACGGATTAGGTCGACCGCGAAACCAACACTTGATCTTGATTTTACGTCAATTAATTGGACACTTTGATAGAACACTTATCTTCTATCTGGTCGACCTCTTTCATCATCCGCTCGACCATTTTGTTAATGACTGCAATCAAGTGGTCGACCTATATACCTTAGGTGGTCGACCATGTTGTTTCTGACGCCAACGAAATGGCCGACCCAGGTTTTATTCTGGTCGACCAAAAATATCAACTTAAACTAAGTGCGGTCGACCAGGTGGTCGTTGAGGTCGACCGCAATGCTTTCTCGTGCTGCCCAAATTAGTCGATTCGGTCGACCGCCTTCAGCAATAGGTCGACCGAAAAGTACATGTCACTGTGACATGCATGTCATAGTAGGCATACCCAAACATTTATTTTGCGCATTAGTCATTTATCGATTATTATTTGTTGAACATTGTTGGGGGAATTATTGGGTGGTTTAATTGTTTGGGGTAGCATTCGGCAATCAGCGGATTATATAAATACTTAGCTAGTGGGTTCTCATGCCACTAAGCAGAATATTAAAACCCAATTATCTCTCTCTTCTTTTCCTTCCAGCCGAGATCCTTCTCTCCTCTTCTCTAGCTGCTGCCGCGGCAACTATTCCTCCCTCATCTCTTCTCTAGTTATGTTCCCAATTCACAATCCCTAGTTCTCTTCGAGCAATCAATCCCTAGTTGATTCCCCTAATTCACTATCCTTAGATAGAACCGGATCCTGGGTTCTATCATATTGGTACCAGAGTCTCAACGAGTCTGTCACGACTCTCGCCGACTCAATACCGACATCCATGGTGCAGACGAAATCAATGACCGTTGGGAGAAGGATGCTGCCCAAGAGAAGGCCGCCCAAGGCATGACCTCCGGGTCGCCGGGAGATGGCGCCTTCGAAGACCTCACCGACATAGAGTTGTTGCGCCTCAAGGTCGATCTGATGGAGCTGACAATGGGCAACCTAGACGCGAAGACCGTGAGCCTGCGTACTGGTCAGGACGCGCTGACCCTGAAGGTTCGGCCCATTCGCGAGATGCTGGAGCAGATGGTGCACGACAAGACGAAGATAGCCCCCACGGCACCGGAAGGAGCCCCTGGCGGCTCGACAATGGTGGTCGCGCCGGGTCCGACTTCGGGGCTCGACGTTGACGGTCCCACGGTTGACGGCGGCGCTGGGATGACCGCGGATGGTGGGGCGGGGTGCGGACAGCAGGTCCCCGGGCGGGCAGATGCGTTTACGGCAGTTGACCTGGAACTGAGCAAGCGTGCGGGCCACGTCTCTTTTGGGACTCCTTAAAGCACGGGGCTACTGCCGACTCCTACGGCTCAGGAGCTGACGGCTACACGCGGCAAAGCAAAGGCGCCGGGGTAAGAGGCCGTGATCCGCGGCGCGAACGCGGTACCATTGGGACCATCGTGGGAGGAGCAGGAGGCGGCCTGGGCAGGGTCCGACCCGCGGTGGGGCTGGTCCAACCGCCTTGCAGAACCGGGTTTGGGCGGCAGCGGGGGCTCGAACCGAACCTGTCCAGGTAGGGGTCGGGTCAACCAGTAAACGGCCCGATCAGCAGTTGGTTTCCTTGGATGGTATGGGTTCAATGCGCGGGGGTGGCTATCAGGGGATGGGAGGTGTTTCCCCCACTCCCTTCAGGCCTTCTCGAGGTATGGACCAGCCTCCGGGCAAGACATGGGAGACTGCGCGAGGACCGCCGGAGGGTTCAGAGTACTTTCCCGGTGGACATGATGTGGAGGACAATGCCTGGAGGTATGGGCCGCCACTATCGGGTTTTCACGGCTCGTACGACGGACTTTCCAGCATGGGCAGGTATGGTGGGAATTATCGGGGTTATGAGGGTGAAGGTGGGCTTGTGTGTAACACCCCGGTATTTTAGATTTAGGTTCGACCTTAATACGTGATCGGTTGGATTGACGGTTAAGTACTATGAGTTACAACCGCGGATTAGGAATAATAATAATAACTATTATTATTATTACTATAAAAAAATTATATATGCAGACCTAGAGGGCCGAGCGACCCTCAATGATTTCCCCAAATCCCAACTCGTCCCCAGATAACCCCCTCCCCAAAATAATTCCGCCGCCAAACCAAATTCCCCAGCCCCAAACCAAATTCCCCAGCCCGCGCGAGTTGGATATTTGGTCCAGCAACCGCCGTCGCTCATCCCCAGCTCTGCGCGAGTTGAAAAAAAAAAAGAGAAGAAGAAAGAAGAAGTCGGCAGCCGATCCCGACCCCGATTCCAAACCCATCCCTTTCGCGTTTTTAGGTAAGGATAACGAGCCCCTTCGCGATTTCTAAACTCGATTTATCGTAGTCTAATCCGAAGCTCGTGTTTTTATTAGCGGTGATGTTGAGGGTTCGATCAACAAGGAGATCAACGTCCCGGGCCATCCAACCTAGGCCTAGGCACGTTCTAGAGGTAAGGGAACTCGATCCCTTTGAGTTAGATAGATCGATTTGGTGAGTTTTCGTGAGGGTGAAATTCTGTGGTTTTAGCAACAGACGTTCAGGCTTTTAGTGACAGATTTTGATTGGTCACTAAAGCTGCTGGGAATTTCCAGAAACGTATTTTTAGATGTATTAAATTATTTCGAGCCCCGCTGAAGGTTGTTTTCTAAATCTAACAATTTTATAAATTGAGCTACGTCTAGGAGATGATTTTAATTTAATTTGGGGATTTTTGAAGATGTATTTCTATTTTTAGAAATTGTTCGAATATTTGTTTTAATTAAATAAAAATCTTTCCGAGGTGTTTTTAAGGGTTTGATAATTTTCCAATGTGTAGGTGCTCATGATTGACATGGAAAAATTATTTTCCAAAATTATAAGAAGGTTCAAGTTAGGTGAAAAATTCGTCCTAGATAACAATAATTAAGAGAAATAGTCGGTTTTGAAGGGAGTATTTCTAGAAAAAAATTTAAAGGGGGTTAAGGGACCTTTGGAGTGAGGTTTAAGGATGGGACTTTGAGTAGAGGGTGTTTGGGTAGATAAAAAGGAGGCTTTTAAATCGAGAAAGGTTGTCTTAGAGTATGTATTTCTTATTAATAGGTTTCCTGGGATAATCCGGCTAAAGAGGGAAAGAAGGCGAGAAAGTTAGTAGCCGATCGAACTTCGTAGTCTCGCGTGATGAAGAGGTTCACACCTATTAGTAGGAGGGGAAGAGCCGCATCTATTAGAGGCGGAAGGAAGGCCGAGAACTAGACATCGGTGATCGCAACTGGCGGGGGTAAAGCGATGAGAGGCCCCGACCCTATCCTCCCAGACGACCCGGGGTGTCGGCAGTTCAAAGTTGCCCGCCGAATTGTGGCCCGAGGAGGGACCTTGAAGAGAATGGCGGCGGAGCTCCAATGGTTAGGGTCGTTGAAGAGGAAGACGATGAACCGATAGAGGAGGAGCCAAAAGAGGAAAAACGCGCGGGGCTTCAGCTTGAGAATGCAGACGTTGATGCGACTAATGAGGTGAGTGTAAAGGGGGTAAAATCTTTGTCGTAGGTCTTTGAGTTTCTGCTTTTCATTCAAGTTATTAATTAGTTAATTTTTTAGTAATATGCGATATGTGTGTGAGGCATCCCACCGCCTGTAAGGGTGGAGGCACGTGTTGTGCTATGTATGAATGTATGGATGTATGATTGTAATAGTTGGTTAATGGTAAGAGGAACCCCCTACGGTTGGGCCACTACTGGACGCGGTAGATTGTCGGATCATTGCTGGACGGTGAGACGTAACGCAGCAGTTGATCGAGTATGTTGGGGTCACTACTGGACGGCGAGATGTAACGCAGTAGTTGACGGGCATGGACTAGACGACGAGACGTAATGCAGTGCCATTACCAAGCTTGGGTATGCAACCTGACGGCGAGACGTAACGCGGTGGTCCCTTGTGTTGGTGTCTTTGGATTAAGAGTATAAGTAAGAAAAATTCTAAAGATAAGATAGGAGTAGAGATCTCTTATAGACTGTTTGATAGTAAAGTTTAAAGGATGAAAGTGAGAACGACTTTCGTCTAAGGAAGGCATTCCCCTAATAATGTGTTTAGTAAGGAGTTTGCCTAGGGCAAAGACCTTAGGAAGTAACGACGAGACTGACCCCTTCTCACTCACCAGGTTGAGGATAGTCTAGCAGAAGTGAATCACGAGAAGAAGCAGGGTGAGGCGAGCAGCAGTACCAGCGTCGACGAGATATCGGAAAGCTCGTGAGCAGTCAAGATAGATTAGTTACTTATTCTGTTTCATGGTTATGAGTATAAACTGGAGATTCTGTGTTAAGTCGTTTTAAGTGTTTGGGATTGGGAATTTTTCCAAAGTGTTGGGGCTTTTCGTAAAAAAAAATTCTTAAAAGATGTCAGTTTGTTTATTTTAAAATGTGGTTGGGTTGCTCTGGAGTAACCGGTTTTTGGTTTGAGTTATGGTCTGATTTTTGAAAAGAGCAGGACGTGTCATTGTGTTTAGGGAAAATCCACCTACCATTGAGTTCCCTAAATTCAATGGTCAGCAGGATGCAGGATTGTGGTTGTACGCAGCTGACAGGTGGTTCCATAATCACCCCACCAAGGAGGAGAGGAAGGCGCATCTGGCGTCTTTCTATCTGGAAGGGGATGCTCTACAGTGTTGGGAGTGGTTGGAGAGATCCTACGCTCAGCAGGGCACCTTGATCACCTGGCAGGGGTTCAAAGACGAGCTTCGATACCAGTTTGGTAAATCGGAGGGTTGGGCTCTAGAGAAGCTGGCTAAGCTCCGCCAGACGGGGACGGTGGCGGAGTATATGGCGGAGTTCTTCAAGTTGGGGAACCAGTGCACGGGCGTGCCGGAGGAGACACTGGTGGGGCTGTGCATGGAGGGACTCAAACCAGAAATTGCATCTGCAGTTAAGGTTTTCGAGCCTGACTCTTTGAAAGCTGCTTTTCGTATTGCAGGTCGCAAAGAGGAGATAGCCAACTGGCGTAGCATCATTCGCCGATTTCATAGGCCAAGTGGTGGCGGCAGCACGTCCGCTAGTGGTGGCGGGAGCGGGCAGGCCGGTGCTGGCAGCGGGACAGCCACGGGTGCATGCAACGAGGTGGGGGCGATGGCTCGGCCAGGAGCACAGGCTCCACCTAAGGGCTTCGTTCACCTGACCTAGGCGCAGATCGATCAGAAGCGCATGGAAGGCAAATGTTTCAACTGCAATGAGCGGTTCACGGTGGGGCACAACTGTGCGAAGCCAGAGATGATGATGTTCATCAACCATTGGGAAGACGATGTCGACGATGAGGCGGTCGGGTTCGAGTGGGTGGCGGATCCTAAGGTCGAATACAAGTGAATTCAAACTCAACCTTAAGGTTAAGGTTGTTCATAAGTAGGTGAGGATGATGGAAACATTTATTTTGCGCATTTAGTCATTTTCGGTTATTATTTGTTGGACATTATTGGGAGAATTATTGGATGATTTAATTGTTTGGGATAGCATTTGACAATTAGCAAATTATAAAAATACTTAGCTAGTGAGTTCTCATACCACTAAGCAGAATATTAAAACCTAATTATCTCTCTCTTCTTTTCCTTCCAGCCGAGATCCTCCTCTCCTCTAGCTGCTGCCGCAGCAACCCTTCCTCCCTCATCTCTTCTCTAGTTCCGTTCCCAATTCCCAATCCCTAGTTCTCTTCGGATAATCAATCCCTAATTGATTCCCCTAATTCCTTATCCCTAGATAGTACCGGATCCTGGGTTCTATCAGTAGAACATGAGAAACGCATGCATGCAGATCACTATAGCACCCATCAGTCCATCACTCATGTATATATAGAGGAAAACCAGTCACACGTACCAGAAGTTTACAAAAGAAAAGCTGGTTTGTCACATGATGTAATCAAGCTCTTGGATCGAGTCCTACAATCTTACATATAAAAGAAAACCCATGCAGAAGAAGAAGAAGGGAAAAAAGCACACCTAGCTAATAATAAAGCTCCTTTCCATAAAGAGGCACTACTAGGAGGTTCCGCCGTCACGATAACAACTTTGCTACTTGTTTCTATAGTTTCATCCTAGCTACTAAAATCCATAAAGATCTATCTATCTATCTAAGCTTCTGTGAATTGTGACAGATGATCATAAACTAAAAGCTCCAAGGGAAGTTGTGGTCTTGAAAGCTACCATCCAAAATACTACAACTACTGAAGCAGCTGTCTCCATTAACTCCCATCCCCTGCCGCCACCCAAACCCACCGTTCAAATCATTGAGCTCTATAAAATCATTACTGAACTCCAACCAATCCACCAACCCTTCCCCTCCACCAACCGCCAACCCCGATGAGTTATTAGAATCACAAAACTGATCTCCTCCACCCTGCATCACTACTTTCTCATCATCATGCTTCCCTCCTCCAGAACCAGCTGGAGGAGAGCCTTCTGACGCCACCTCCGCCGCCGCGGTGATTGGCCTTGGCGGTGATGGAGGTGATGGTGCAGAGGAGGAAGAAGAAGAAGGCAGGTTGAGGGTGGCGGAAGGGCCGTAGAGGGTGACGGCGGCTTCATCGTACGCTCTAGCTGCTTCCAAAGAGGTGTCGAAAGTGCCTAACCATATTCTGCTGCCTAGGCTGGGTTCTCTGATCTCAGCCACCCATTTCCCCCATGTCCTCTGCCTCACTCCCCTGTATTTGCACTGCGCGTTCTCCGGGCCTCCTTTCCCTCTCATGCACCCTTTCCTCGACCTCCCCATCGACGAAGACGACGATTTCTTTGCCGCCTTGTTGATGCTTCCAGCTTCCTTCTCCATGATGAAGGGCTATAAATATGCTGTGATAAAAGGTTGGGAAACTCGCTGCTGGAAAAACCATTGGAGTCTAGCAGCTAGCTAGCTGTTCTGTTGCTGGCAGGCAGCCATATTTTTTGCTTCTTTTCGAGGGCGTTGAGATGGTATATATGAAATTTAACTATGGAAAACAGTCTTAAAAAGGATAGCCATGCCATGTAAGCAGGGTTTTTCAAAGTTTCTTGGGTGTGTTTCGTGGAACGGTGAAGTGGGTTGTTGGCACGTGTGCAAGCGTCATCACCTGGGGGATGGGATGGCATGGCATTTGGAGTGGATGGACAAGTAGCTACGGCACCTGTCAACTCAACATAGGTTTCAAGCTTCTTCACGGCGAAGTAGCTTAACTTGGTTTCGGATAACTGATGTCACGCTAAACTTAGACCGGCTAGTTCTGTTTTTGTGATATCCTTCTCCCGCATATTGTAGTTAGGGGTAAGATTTCTTAACCGGACCGTAAACCACAAAAACTTAGACAGCCATTCCCCTCTAGAATCGAAAGCCAACAGTGAAGGAGTTTTAGAGGTTTTGAAACCAAAACCTCTATGATCTACCGGTGGTTTGGTTTCAGCTCCAAAGGAAATGTATGTTCCTCTCTCTCAGGATGAGAGTAGAATCTGAATCTGCGGTCGCGGGTACCCTATCCGATCTAATCTGGTCAACGTGAATAATACTCATTTTGATGGATTGCGGGCCGGGTTCGGGTTTAAACCTGCTATACTTTTTGCGGGTTGGATTGTTTTTTGGTTTAGCCATATCCAATCTGCGGATACACGCACCCAATTTCATACCCCCCACGACCCACGAAATCCTTAACGAATTAACTATAATTTCTAAATTTATTCCTCATATATTCAATTAATCATTTTGTTTGTGGATGTTTATCTTTAATATTGAACAATTAGTATGAATGATTTGTGAGTTAGTGTGTATGTAGTAGACAATAGTAGTGAAAATAGTGTAGGGTAAATGGCACATTTGGTCACTGGGATTACTAAATCGTGTTATGTTTAGTTACTAGAAAAAATTAATATCAATTTTGGTCACTCGAATTATTAAAACAGATCACATTTTGTCACTCTCCCGTTAGCCTCCGTCCAACTCCGGTCACTCGAATTACTTTTTTTTATGAATGTCACTCGAATTACTAAAACATGTCACATTTAGTCACTCTCCTGTTAGCCTCCATACAGAAACTAACAGGACAGTGACTAAATGTGACATGTTTCAGTAATTCGAGTGACCAAAATTTATATTAATTTTTTATAGTGACTATACATGACATGATTTAGTAATCTCAGTGATCAAATGTGGCATTTACCCAAATAGTGTAATTGCATCTATGTACATAAACCCATGGGTACCCATGAACCACTGGGTACCCAGCGGATTGGGTTGGATTTGAGTTTTTCAAATCCAATGGGTTTTATCCCGGATTTTTTTTGTGGATAAACCCATTGGTCCATAACCCGCCCCAACTTGACCCATTGTCATCCCTACTCACAACTAGGTGTGAGCATTAGTCATTTCGGTTCAGAACCTGTGAGCCAGATCCAGAAATAGGATTGGACAAGGAAAAATTAAGAACCAAATCAAAAGCATGTTTAGATTATTGGTGCAATTTCGTCCCGTCTGAATACAATTTCAGTCTATTTTTTCTTCATAATTAAAATAATTCATACGACCAAAATCAAATCGAAATATATTCAATCCTACTCAATTTAAACATCAACTCGGTGCGGTGCCACTCCTACTCACAACTATTAATGGCTTATCAGATTTATATCAATTTCTTGACATGAAGCAAACCCTGTAAGCATAAACAAAATTCCAAACTGTTAAATTAAACGGTTAAGAGGAGCTAAAGCATTCAGTTATAGGCTAATTAAGCAGAAAAACAAACACAAACTGACAGCCCTAATTGTAACGTTAGTTGAATTGCGATGATGGTGCATTTTATTAGAACCAGTAGCTTCTCGTTCTATCAGTTCGGAAACATTGTAAATGGAAACCATCTATCTACACATGGGAAATGATCGATTCAGCCTTCTGGGACTGACAACCAGAAAGTGGCATTGGGTAGCAAGTTGAACAACTTCTCGAAATTCGACGAATAAAATCGGCCAACTTTTATAGCAGCTTTCTAACAGTGACCGTGTACTAATAAATATACCCTTAATCCAGGAAGGAAGCTACACAAATTATTCAAACAGACAGACAACGGTGCTGTGATAGGCCCAGGAGCTTCAGCTCTCGGCAAGCAAAATGCAGATGGGGGGGACAAGTATTGAAGGCACTTTGTGCTTGAACTGTTGAACAAAAGCAGTCACATACTATCCACTGCAAATTCATTGTGATGTTTGATTTTGTTTCGATGATCCTATTCCATGGCGCTTGAAGAACTCTCTGAATCCATAAGGGCTGACATCGTAGTTGAACTGGATGACATGAATGAAATCCATACGTGAGACAATGTGTTAGAAATAAAAGCAGCACTATAAGAAATGGTAACAAGATTTGCAACTCACAGGTAGAACTTTAACGGCATATTTGGTGATACCAGGATCCACAGCCTTTCCCTGGTTAGCTGTCTGAAAGGCAATAAGATAATTTCCAGTCAGTAGTGTTTGTGGGGACATGGTAGCAGTATACAACTCAATGATATATTAGCAACCTATGCAGGAAAGAGAAAATAGATGGTAATATCAAGCGCTTGGTGCTACTGCAAGGAAAGAAGTACACGGGAACTTGAGCAAGATGAATGTTCCGGTCTTCAAGAAGCAGATGGCTACATAATTGTATAGTGATACTTGGTCTGAAAATTATGGATGCAGAAGCATACTTGTTCTGGACTATGGAAGATTTCAATGAACGGGTATTCCTTCTTCTGCCGTGTTATGCAGAACCCAGGATACTTCGGGCATTCAACCTGAGACGAAGCAAGAGGACTGATCATACCTAATGAAATTGTAATGAGCAGCCTGTGGGTGAGTTCATAAAGAACATCATGGACCTCTGCAGAATATTCAAAGGCAAATCAACTCTTAAAACATAAGCATTCATTTCGTAAGGCTCTGTATCTTCCATAGCCATAAACATACATAGAACAACATAACACAATTTCAAGTTCATATGCTACACGCCACCAAAAGATTTGCACTTTCTCTATGCGAAGCCATTAGAGACATTCAGAACTAGGATACAATAATGCTCATCAGCATTCCTTCAATGAATCATTGAAACAGGATCCATAACCATACCAACCTAAATTCCTAATTCAAGGGTAATGGTGGACCTTTTTGCACTCAGTTGACTGAAGGGCTAATACATGTTATATACAGAGCAGAAACCACTTACACGCATGAATTTAACACCAGGATAAAACTCAGCAGCAGCTTCCTCAAGTACTTTGTCTAGATGTCTTGTGTAATTCCCTCTACGGCATGGGAAGTTAAATGTCAGATGAAGATTGCTGAAACAATGAAACACATGAAGGTTTCAACTGTTTACTCCCCAAGGCTCACCTGATACTAAAAGCAACTACCATTGGGTAACCTTCATGGAGAAGCTTGACGAATTCACGTTCTGATGTGAAATGAATGACTCGTGAGGGGCCAAGATCTTTTGGATATCCAGTGTAATACCTAATTTCACATGCAGATATATTATGTAAGAATATGCCAGAACGACGAAATATATATTTGCAAATGAGTTCCAAGGAATGTTTCCCACATAATATCTCCAAGCTTACTTGCAAGTACATCGTAGCTGACCGAGCATTCGATCTAAAAATGGCTGCTGCTCCATTTGGTTCAGTAATGCACCAATCTGATTCCTTTAGTTATCCTGAAAGAAGTATACAATTGCCAAAACAGTAAAAATGGGGTAAACCAGAAGAAGCACTCAAAACCACAATAACAACTCCATAGCTCCAACTGTACAAGTTCAAACCATTCCTTTTTCCCCCCTTCAAGCCTCCATGTTCTCCTCAATCATGCAAACTCAAGAAAGCAATGAAGGTGTAGACATGAAACGCTGGGGAGGACTGATAAAAGGAGAGAAGGGGGGACAAAACCAGAACCAAATGTAGCACTCGCTAGTAAATCCACTCAAGCATTTCAACGAACACCTACAATGCTTTCCAACACCCTCATGATGTGTCATCACAATGGCGGCAGCAGCAAGGAATAGAGAAAATAAAAGACAACCAGCATAATGGCTCGCAAGGCAGCATGACAACAAGTGCAGAGCAAAACAATTGAAACAGACAAGGACCAATTGACTGCTCCAGCAGTGCATCGCTAAAAATGTTTACTGTCAAAGAATTAAACTCTAGGCCTAATCCAGCACTCGAAATGCATAAAGAGCATTTGGAGAGCAGAACCTAATAAACAAACTTATGGAGTTATGGTAAGTTACACGTTTTGTCTTCACTAATGATTTGAAGTACGGACTCAAGATAAAGAGGTTGGCTTTTGGGAGAGATATTAGAGGTCTCAGCAACGACAGAGATTGGAGGCTACTGTTAGAGGAAACATAGCTGAAGCCTAGTACCAGTCCATAACAACAGAAACCTGGATGACGGACAAGGCTAACTCCAGTTTACGAACCAACATTCACAATCACTCTCAGCCCATGAAAAACTGTGCAAGGAACCGGGAAAATCAAGCTAAAAATGGCATGGTAGGCCAGCAAACAAAGAAGTAAGGCGGAAACCTACTCGATTAAGAAAATATGGGCTCTGCTTCTTTATGTAGAAAAGGATCAAGAATCACTTAACCGCCTAGGGGAGTGGAGATGTTAATTTGGATGTTCAAATTTGCAACAACTAAAACACTGTAGAACGGCTCAATAGCAGTAGGGATCAAGGTTCAAAAAGGCGCTAGACGTAATGCGAGCGCTTTGTTGCTGACTTGCGTGCCTAGGTGTTTAGAGTTAAAATGGAAAAAAATCTCAAATATTTTTTGATTTCTAGAATATTTCATATGATCACAAGTTCATATAAATTAGAATAGAAACAACTACTTTTTAATTGTTTAACCTAGCAAATAACAAGCAAGTAGTGACTATTTACTAGAATCGCACGTTTATAAAATGTCAAAAGCAATGGAATGGAGAAAATGGTCTCCGTGATGGAATTCCATAAGCTATCCATACCATAACTAATCAAATAATAGAGATTAGAAGCACTTCACAAGGAAAAAAAGACTAACATTGCAATTCCATATGTGCATTTTGTACAAGTAGAATTCTGGAAAGATACCGAGTTGCTTAAAAGAGCAATTCGATAAACAGCAGCGGAGAACAAAAAATAATCGAGAGTCTAGATCAGAACTAATAACGGCACCTATAGTGCGGCGAGCTTCTCCCTGCGGCGACGAGCGACGGGCTTCCTCCTGCTGCGGCCGAGCTGTTGGCTTCTTCCTGCGGTGGCCAACTGGTGAGCAATAGAAGGATCGATTAGCAGCTACGGCATCCGAGCAGGTGAGAAGGAAGGGCTTCTAGTTCTAAGTTCTAACCTAAAGTCTCTTTTGAGGGGAAGTTCTAACCTAAAGTCGAATGATAGAGAAAGAGGTGATTTTGCTGCGTTATGATCTGGTACTCTCGCCAAAAGTCCAAAATACAGGGAGGGGAAAACAGCGACCAAAACGGAGAGTGGAGACAGCGGCCAAAACGCAGAAACGGCAAGTTCTTTGGCCAGCGCCTAGGCCCTCTTCATCTCGCCTAGGCCCGCTTAATCCAGAATTAGGCGGCATCAAGGTTCTCAAACCGGTTTGACAGGGGGTTTGAGGTTTAATGATCGAATCGGGGTTCAACCGGATTAAGTCGATTTTGACAAATATATAAGTAGTTAATATTAGGGAGACACCTAATAAATTATATATATATATATATGTGGTGACTTCTACGGTGCTCAGGACAAAATCCGGGTACGGGTACCTTGGCCGATCTTAACCATTCGTTTTCAATCTCCACGCTATAAAGTATTGGTGCTTTAATGTACAATTTAAAGTTGTACCATAACGTTAAATGTATAATTTAAGGTTGTACCATAAAGGAATTTGTACCCTTATGTTATGGTACAACTTTATAACTTAAAGTTGCATCTAGGGATGGCAACAAAAGCCGAACCCACGGGTACCCACCCGACCCAATCCGGTCAACGCGGGTAAAACCCATGTTGACGGATTTTGGGTTGGGTTCGGGTTTAAACCCGCTACACTATCCATTGGGTCGGGTTGGGTTTGGGTTTGGGTAAACCCGCCCACACACATATAATTACTTTTCCGATATATTTAATATTCTAAATAACATATCTTCCTTAAACAACTAATATTCTTTATGTTTGTGGAGACATGTATAATTTGTTCTTTCTAATTGTTTAGAATGAAGTTGATATGATGAAGTGGAGAGTGAAGAAACTTAGTTGACGAGGAAGAAGCTTTCAATTAATCTTATTGTTTATCTTTAATTTTGAACAATTTGTATTGATCATTTGCGGTTTGGTTGTATGCTCTATATTAGTGTTTTTTATATGATTAATTTGTATGAGAAAATTGATGTTAAACTTTTATTTTGAAAGAAACTTGTATTGTAAATTTTTTACCACAAAAACCCACGGGTACCCATGAACCCGCGGATACCCAGCGGGTTGGGTTGGGTTTGAGTTTTTCAAACCCAACGGGTTTTACCCCGGGTTTTTTTAGGAGATAAACCCATAGGTTTGGGTTTGGGTTTGACAAAACCCGCCCCAAGCCGACCCATTGCCATCCCTGGTTGCATCATCACATGAAAGTACAAGTTTAAGTTGTACTAGAAAAGAATTTGTACAAAAGAGTATAGGTATAATCTGAAGTTGTACCATAACGTTAAAGGTACAATTTCAAGTTGTACCATAAAGGCAAAAAACTATAGCATCAATGCTATATAGCATTGTAAAATTCCTCATATATATATAACATCATACAATCTCAAATTCTCAATACAACCTAAATTTATATAAATTATTAATCCTCGCATTAAAACAATTAATTAAGCAATTTACACAACAAAACATAATCCACTCCATCCATAACTATAACCGTTTCTGTGGACATGAAAAAAGTACCCCTTTGTTATAAAAAAATCGGGTAAATTGCAAGGTTGGTCACTAGAAGTGTTAAAATATTCACGTTTGGTCACTAAAAGAATTTTATTCCATTCGTGGTCACTGGAAGTGCTTAACGTTTCACGATTGTCACTCTCCGTTAGTCTCCATCCATCTCCGCTAACACCGTTAATATTTTGCTGACGTGGCTAACAACAGTGCTGATTCACCCAATTTAAGCCTGCCACGTCATATAATTTTGACCAGCCATGTAAGAAAAACCGCCACATAAAAAAATCCCACATAATTCAACCAAACCACATAATCCGACCCCTGCCTCTCCTCTTCTTTTTCTTCCACATTTAAATCTCCATCTAAATTTCTTCTTCTCCTTTCATTGTTGCCTCATCAATCATCATCATGGAAATTTATATTGGATCAGGAATCAGACTCGGTCTCGCCTAGATTCAAGAAATTTCTCTCAACCCACTTCTCCTTGTGAAAATCTGAACAACCAAACCCATCTTGAATTGAGCGGAGAAGACAATTTTTTGCACTTTTGGCCAAAAAATCAGAGTAGACCACGATTGGGAGCTGTTGAGGTTTTGCTCACGCTGGAGGGGGGAAGAATCAGGAACATAGCATAACACGATTGGGGATCTGGTATGAGAATAAGGATCCAAAGAGGCGATCTTCTAACGATTCACCAACGGTGGTGGAGGATTTTGCGGTAGATATTCTTCTTGGTCACCGTCGTCGCTTGCTTCTCATCTTCGCCTCTTTTAAAGCTTCTGAGAAACCCAGATACTGAAATCGTTCGATCTGTGTTTGTGGTGATTCGCCGTGCTCATCGGGATGGCATAGCATCTCCCCACGCTCATGTTCACCTCGTAAAATCTAGACTCATCGACGATGTCTTCGTATCAGATGCAAAGGTGGAAGGACAGTGGGTTCTGCAAATTTTGCTGGTGTTGCGATTCACTGACTCTATGACAGATTCAAGCAATGTCTGGCCATGATTGATGAAGCGGCGAGCTGATGGTGGGAGAAAAGAGAGATGCGAGTGGATTTAGTGTTTCAAGTGGGGTGGAATAGAGGAAGAAGAAGAGGCGCGATGAAGAAGAACTAAGGTGGCCTCTGACGAATTTTGCAGAAAAGGGAAGAGGAAGAGTTTGGGGAAGAAGGAGATGGATCGGGAAAATGGCCCCTCTGTTTCTTCAATTTTAATTTTATTGGGTTGTTCTTAGGTCAGCTCGTTTCACGGGTTGGGTTGGGAGAAATTTGACATGGCGGTTCGGGTCTCTTTTTTTCTGGGTTAAATTAGGCTGATTGGGCAATTCTGTTAGCCACGTCAACAGATAACGAACTTTATTAACGGAGAGTGACCAATCGTGAAACGTTAAGCACTTTCAGTGACCACGAATGGAATAAAATTCTTTTAGCTACTAGACGTAAATATTTTAGCACTTTCAGTGACCAATCTTGCAATTTACCCAAAAAAATCATTTATCAACCTGTCGCATTCCACTCTAATTAACAACTACAACAAGGGATCAATTTGAGAACCCAACAAATGAACAAAACATCTATCTTCCTTTCTCATGTACTCTCTATCTCAAGAAGAAGAAACAACCACTGCTAAAAAATACCTAACAGAAGCACCGGAGTGGCCGATTGGGGGGAGTAGCCGTCGAGGCGGCGGTGCGATGCGGCTTCGAGGCGGCTGCCGGGGTGCAGCGCCGAAGTGCGGGGAGCTGACGTTGAGGCGATGGCTGGCAAGCCGTGTCGAGAAGCAGGGAGCTGGCATCGAGACGGGAGAGGCGAGGATGCTGGGGCCAGGATTTAACGTCGGCAGAAGGAGGAGGTGATTTGGGAGGAGATGATGGAGAGACGAGAGCGACGGCGCGGCTACTACCTCGCTCGACGGAAGGGAGGGAGCCAGAGTTGGCTCTTTAGGGTTAAATGAGAAGATCCCAAAACGTCATCGTATTCATAATAGCCGGTAGCCGGTAGCCGGATAAGTCCGGTCAGACCCAATTTTTACCGTCTTTGAGCGGTTGCCGGCCAGCTCAAAATATGGTTGTCTCTAGCCCCTTTTGTGTTCGGTTCCGACCCAACCCCGGTTTGACAACCATGGGCGGGATTAATATACAATTAACACCTATTATGCGCAGGTAACGCTTTTAATAGCGCCTACGTTTCATAAAAAAAACAGCACCTACGTCCAAATCAAGGTGTTCCTTCAACGCCTCACGCCTAATAGAGCCTAGGCGTGCGCCTAAGCGCGCCTTCTTGAAGGCTGGTAGGGATAAACAAAGGGTAAGAACTAAGAAGACATAATCAAGGTGTTCCTTCAACGCCTCACGCCTAATAGAGCCTAAGCGCGCCTTCTTGAAGGCTGGTAGGGATAAACAAAGGTAAGAACTAAGAAGACATAGTAGTATTGGAGGGGAAACCACTTCAATTATGGTAGCATCGATAACATATTTACCCTTACTTGCATGGTTAAATTGACCTGCACCGCTGAGAAATGATAATGTCCATACTCTTTAACTGTGAAGAATCTCCAAGCTTTGGGCACCTATTCACATCATAACAGTGAAAATGGGGTTCAGACAAACTAATAAGCTCTCAATTGTGTGGAAAGATAATTTACTATAATCAAACATCCAATATATATATTATTATTATTATTATTATTATTATTATTATTATTATTATTATTATTATTATTATTATTATTATTCAAAGCCCCATTTAAGCAACACACACCAAGTCCAACAAAGCTTTACTTGAAAAACAGTTCGTATCTTTGAGGAACAAAACACCATTATACTTGAAACCAACAGTCTACTTATGATCTCTAAGATTCCACAACCAAACAACGGCTACATAATTCTACTTAGCATCGGCCATCAAGCACCATCATTTTGCCTCTTTAAAAGTGTAGACACGGTGATATCAATTAAAAACTCACCATAGGGAACCTGGAACCATCTCATTTCCTAGTTAGAGCTCCTTTTTCGTCAACGGTGTATATCAATTATCAGTATATGTAACTGATGGTTCTTCGACAATGTTGCCAACTGAAAGCTAAGTAATTCCCCAAATAAGCTAATTTGACCATAACAGCTAATTTTGGGTAACTGAACGATAACACCTAACGCTCATCGGAGGCTATTGGTCCCGCAAAAACCCACCAAAACCACAATTACATAATGCGACTAAACAAACCCCCAAGCATCCACATATTCGATAACAAAGACTCCATGAAAACTTCTAAATCCATATCAACTATTCAATCCACAAAGTATAAAGAAAGTTCGGACACACCTGCGAGGGAGGATCCAGTGACTAAGGGGTGCTTAGTCACTTGACTAAACCCCTCCCAGCCCTTAGATCTAGATATAGCAATCTGATGGTTAAAAAGTGGGAAAGGCTATTTAATTAATGACAGGGTAGTTTGGGTATTATGGAAAATTATGAAGTATACAAACCGGACTTACAATCAATACAAACCATACAATCATACGAACAATACAAACTAGAGCGACAAAACATACAAACAGATTTAAGAACATTACAAATATATGAACTGTACAAAAAATACAAACTAGACCGACAAACAATACAAACCATACAAAAAGAAAAAACACCCGGGTTGACTTTGGAGGCTCCATTCCTATATAGAGGGGCTCCTTCCCAAAGTCAACCCGGGTGTTTTTTAGACATACAAACATGGTGAACAAAAATGACAAACTAGACCAAAAATTCATACAAACTGGAAAAACACCCAGGTTGACTTTGGAGGCTTCATCCCTATATAGAGGGCTTCGTCTCAAAGTCAACCCGGTTGTTTTTTAGACATACAAACATTACGAACATGGTGGACAAAAATGACAAACTAGACCGACAATCCATACGAACTGAAAAAAACACCCAGTTGACTTTGGAGGCTCCATCCCTATATAGAGGAGTTCTATCCAAAATTCAACCAGGTTGTTTTTAGACATAAAAACCATTACAAACATGGTTGACAAAAATGATAAACATGGTGCACTGTCGCCGGGAAATTTTTCTCCGACGTCGATGGTCGCCGAAAAGTTTTCTCCGGTCAGAAAATCTCTCTCTCTCTCTCTCTCTCTCTCTCTCTCTCTCTCTCTCGGGGACGCACCAAAAAAAGTGAATTATATTCCCTCCTTAATTGACAGTGGCATCGACGGGATAAATTCACTGGCCGGCGACGGAAAAAGAGAAGAGACGGACGCCGACATCAGCGACGGGAAATAAGAAGAGACGGGATGGGGGAAGAGCCCGAGGAAAAAATTATTTAATAATTGAAAATAAAAATAATCATACAATTACTGTTTTGTCCTTCATTAAATTAGATTAATTGTAGCCATTGGATTTTAATGAGGTGGAAGGGCTGAGATTCACTTAGTCATGTGACTAAGGAACCCCCCCTTAGTCACCTGATCTTAACCCCACACCTGCAGTGGCGTAGCCAGACATCGAGTCCACTGGGGTCGTTAAATTTTTACTAACATAAATGCTTGCGTACCTAATGAATTTTGAGTTAACCGGGGTCCTTGGTGAGCTAACATCGTTGAGAGTATGGGGTCCTAAACTTGAATTATCGTACTAAAACCTATGTATTTAAAGGGTTTTGTTGCCCAATTATTTGCCAAGTGGGGTCCTAGGACCCCTCTCCTCCTTACCTCCCTCCGCCACTGCACACCTGCCGCTATTACTTGAAAATATAGACGGCAATAGAGAGAGGGTTATAAGCAACAGCAGGATAAGTTAGTTTCTCGGCAGCGGGGTTTCAAAGGAGACTTCCGAGGGCGGCACGGGGATTGCGTCAAGCAAATTGAGGGTGTGGGATTGAGGGTACTATCAGAGCAGATGAATGGAGCTCAAGGTATGCTAGCAGTCTCGAAGAACAAGGGAAAGGAAGTGCAGAAATGAAGAACACAAAACCCCTTTACTGTTAGCTAGCCGTTTGAAGTTACAGAGTCGTTAAGTGCCACGTGTAAAGGCACAGTTAATTTCATTTTCGAATTACAGTTTTACTTGTTTCCGTTTTTACTGTTCTGAACACTTGGTGGTATAAATAGAAAACAGAGAGCAAGATGCTTCTCTGAGTTTTCCCCTCCAATCATTCTAGCTGCTTAACCTAGCAGCTCCTCCATACCTCCTTCTTCTTCTTATGGTATCAGAGCGATTTTAATCCATTTCTCACTTACTCTTCTGCTATGGCGAACAATCCACCTCCGCAGACACCTCCAGGATCTCAGGGCTCAGGACCCATTCCATTTGGCACCTTCAACTCTGCGACCAGTAGCGGTGGAGGCCAGGTTCACAACAACACGAACACTGAAGGTCGCCAACAGCAGAATGGTAACAACAATCATCTAGGTTTAGTGTTTGGAAGTCCTTATTACATAAATCCTAGTGAGAATCTAGGACAATCCATTGTTGCCGAGTTCTTGGATGGATCTAACTACCAAACTTGGCAACGAGCTGTGCGTATGGCTCTTAAGACCAAGCACAAGCTGGGCTTCATTGATGGTTCAATTCCAATGCCTAATCGTACCCATCCTGATTTCGTGTTGTGGGATGCTTATAATACCATGGTTCTCTGTTGGATTTTGAATTCGGTACATAAGGATATTAGTAGAAGTGTTTTACATAAGGTACATGATAATGCTATGGTTGTTTGGGAAGAATTGAAGAATCGTTTTGGCAGATCTAATGCAATTAAGCTATCTAATCTTTCAGACGAAATGGCTGCTTGTAAACAAGGTAGTATGAGTGTGACTCGGTACTACATTACCCTTAAGGGTTTGTGGGAAGAAATTCAACAGTATAGTCATGTTGTTGAGTGTGATTGTGTTGCTGTGAGAGTTAGGTCGTGTGCTGCAGTGGTTGCTTATCGACAGAAGTTGGAAACAGATTATCTTATCAAGTTTCTTAAGGGGTTAAGGTCTGAGTTTGATATTGTTCAAACCCAGCTTCTTATGATGAAGCCTTTACCTGCTGTAGAAACTATTGTAGATGATATATTGCAACATGAGCAGAAATCGAAGGGTGACAAAGGTCAAAGTACCAGGGGTATCCAGTCTATTGCCTTAGCTGCACAAGGTGACCAGAACAAGTCTTTCACCCCAAACAAAGAGAACAAGTTTGAATCTTCTAAGGAAGGCAAGTTTTGTCGATATTGCAAAATGGGTGGTCACCTAAAGGAAGAATGCTACAAGTTGAAGAACAAGAAGGCTCGAATGGGTGAGGGAGGAACTTTTGCTGGTTCGGTGTCTCAATCTGAATCACAGAGTGGTGATTCTGTTTCCTCAGGACATAGTGCTGGTTATGACAGTAAATCTTCCTCTTCTGGATCTCTCAACTTCACTACTGAAGAGATAAACAAGCTGAGACTTCTCTTGCATCAGCCTGATAGTATGAGTCCATCACCACCAGCTTCTCCTTCCATCAAGCATGCCTCCTACTCAGTCTCACAGCACCTCCCAACACACCCTACCTATGCTGGTAAATATGTTCTTTCCTCCTATGCTCAACATGAATTAATGGCTTTAGCTCAAGTTTGGATTTTAGATACAGGAGCATTAGATCATATAGCATGTTCCCTTGTTGTATTTCTAGATACTGGACCAGTCCTTAACCAATTTGTTTATCTACCTAATGGCTCTAAGGTAGTGTTAGAAACCCACCTTATGTGGGATTCTCTTATTATTTATGGTAGGATAATTATTAAGAATATTAGTAACTTGGGGGTTAAGTTTAGGGTTATTATCAGGTTTACTCCGCTATTTCCTATAAATATGTATTCGTTCATTTACTATTAAGCAAAGATTAATCAAAGAACTACCTCTCTAAACCCTAATCTCTTTCTCTCTCAATCTCGTCTATCTCTCTCTCTCTCAAAGGCTTAGGCCGTTCTTCCTCAAATCCCTAAATTCTTCATCTAAACCCCTAATTTCTATTCTGAATCCCTAAATCCCTTTCTATCTATCCGATTACGTTAATTCTTAGAAATCCAAATAAGCGGGTTTCTAATAGTGGTATCAGAGCCATGGTCACGAATATGAGTTCATCACAGCTCTCAACCAGAGATGACTTCGATCAGGTTTTGCAAGATTGTTATCACCATCTGAAAGCCCTCAATGACAAATATGCGACGAGATGGCAGGCTAGCACCGTCAACCTAAGCACAGCTGCAGTCAATAAGCAGGAGGACATGAGCCAACTTTTGGCACAGTTGGCGTCGTTCGATTGGGACGAAGATGATGACTGGTGCGACGACAACAAAGGCGACGATGTGGCGGCAGACGAGAAAGAAGTCGTTGATGTGGAGGAATCAGATCCGACGGAGTTCTCGCCTCCAGTCACGGAAGCACCCACCACCATCTTCGTCAAGCCACAACCTTTGGTGATCACCACCAAGTTGCCGAGGATAGAATCCCCATCCCCGCTGCCCGACACGGCCGAGGCAGTCGTGACTACAACCGTGATTATAGTCGTGGCAGGCTGGCTCAGGGAGGGTAGAGAATAAACGAGTAGAGTTGAGATTTCTCTCAAAACCAAGACTTCGTCTTGAGGTGCTTAGGCACTGAGTGTTTGAGGTAATACTCTGGAGACACTCTTATCCCCTACCAAAAATACCACACAACAAAATCATCAGACCTACAAAAAATTCCTAAACATAACTCCAACGATCAGCTCCAGCATTCTTCACATAGCATCACCATGAAGACGCTAAGCAACAAGGAATCAAACCATTTCAACTAACAAGAATCAGGTATGTCTAACAACCCTAGTACTAGTAAAAATCATTTTGATTATTTAAACAAGAATGAAGAAGAAAATTATTTCTTAGATGGTGTCGTAGATATCAACAAAATAAAAGAGCAAACTAATTTTACTTTATCACAAACTCAAAATTTCATCACTAAGTCATTTTTATCTAAATTATTTGATAGAAAAAATATAATTAAATATGGAAAGAGGATAGGAGAAACAACTATACCAATAGAACATACCAAAAGAGATTTTCTAATCCAAATAATAAATAACAAACAAATTAGAAAAAAGTTATCAAAACTACAACAGGAAGAACGGAATAAAATAGCTTATATTCATATTAGTATGATACAAATTATTTTTAAATCAACAATGAAAACAGGAATAAGTGCGCCAATAGAACTAGAAATAAGAGATGACAGACTCATTAACAATGAAGAAAGCATAATAGCAAAAGGACAAGGAAATTTAGGAGTTAGGAATAATTAAATTTGATATTAATTTACATCAAGGTTTAAGTCTAACAGACGGAAATCTTGATTCCTCAATAATTATAACATATGCACTAAAAAGAGACCAAAAAAGAGACAATTTTAGAGAGAAAATAGTAAACCATTTTCAGTAACATATCAAATAAACTACACTTT